TGGCTGCAACCAAAAAATGGCCAGGCGTTGTGGCGGCGCCTGTAGTCCCAGCTTCTTGGGAGGCTGAGGCAGGAGACTCGCTTGAGCCCAGGAGTTGGAGGTTGCTGTGAGCGTGATGCCATGGCACTCTACCCAGGGGGATAGCTTGAGGCTCCGTCTCAAAAAAAAAAAAAAAAAAAAACACCAAAATTATTTAGAAACAAAGGAAAAGCGCTCAAAACATCCAACCACTAAAAGGACTTGACTGTTTAGTGGAACATTAAAAGCAACACATTTATTCTGAGAATTTTTTAATGTAGGCACATAACAAACAATGTTCAGAAGCAAAGAATTTTGAATGAAGAGAAAGGGCAAACTGGGAAATGAGAAAGATGTAACATGAAGCCATCAGCTAGGTCAGCTGCTCAATGGAAAAGGACAGTACTGAAAAGAAAAGGTGAAAGAAACCACAGAAAAGGTTTCTAATACTATATAGTCTTTAAGATTGATACCATTTCTAGTGATAGAGACCTAGAAGACTTTCAGGTTAGGGAGCAGCAATGCTTCTACCACAAAAGACCCCTCCTTTTAAAAATTCCCTTCCCTCTCATGATCTTCAAATAAGATTTTATGTATAAATCTAAATAAATGTCCATTTCTTATCTCTCATAATACATAGCAATAAAATAACTTAAATCAGGTTTTCTGAATTTTAAAAACACCTTCTGACTCCAATATTCTGAATGTTGAATAGTTCTATGGAACCTGAGGGAGCTGGGAATCCATTTGCTTGTTTTACAGGCAAGTGCATGGAAGTCTAGAAAAGTTACAAAGTAAAGACTTCAAAAAACAATTCAAAATGTAATTGGTAAGTAATAGAATTGGCATGAAAAATATCCAAATTTCAGTGGCATTCATTCTATGTTTTGTTTGTTTGGCTTTTTTGGTGTGATTAAAAATGGACACAATAACAATTATAGTAATTTGTTTCAGGTATTTCAAGGTTTCAGTTAAAAATATACCTCACTTTAAAACTGACCATTTTTACCTGATTTTATAAGATTTAAGTGAGTTGAGGTGGGTGATTAAGCTGAACTCACCTCTGTGTCATTTATAGTTTTTCATGCATCCTAGTGTCTGAGGATTGCCATCTACAAGACAATCTATCATGGAGAAGGTAGCTAAATAAAGAGGAAAAAATGATACTGTCTAGGATAAGTGCCAAATTCTATTTCTGTCAATCATGTATTCATATTACTCATCATTTCCTGACCTGGCAAAAAGTAAGTATGGAGACTTAAGAGTGTGTACCTACTCTGTGATGACATCAGGAGATATGCCTCAATAGCCCTCCCAATGCACAAAGAAAAAGAAAGTTATTCAATTATAGCACCCAAATTTTTAATACCAGCTAGCCTAAAATTATTTTTGAGAACTAACCTAGTTTCCAAAATATTGTTTTTCAAACTGAGGGTTACAACCAATATGAGGTCATGGAACCAATTTGGGGCATCATAATAAGCATTTTAAAAAATCAAACAGAAGTAGAAAACTATACAGCACAGAATATACAGGGTATCCCAAAGGTTGCTCACAAAGTTGCCATACATGGGGAAAATGGGAATTTGTAGCTCAATGTACCTTTATTTACAAAATATTCATTACACAATGTTACAAAGAGGTAGCCAACATGCAGAGAACATTTTATAAATATTTTGTAAAACTGTGTAATGAATATTTTATAAATAAAGGTACATGAGCTACAAATTCCCATTTTCCCTATGAGTGGTGACCCTGTATTATAAGTTCTAAGGATAAGTATAGTATCATGGAAAACATGTTAAATTACTTAAATATATTGTGTGTTCACATGCATAAATGCAAAAAACATACATAAAAACATGCATATCTGTATATGTGTACTGGACCATAATGTGGATATATTTTTTCACTATAATTCCAAGTATAAAAAGTATCTACTACTACGAGGAGATATTTTTCTTTGTAAATGAAAAATGTCTGATGCAAATAATCTGCTCATTATGATATAAATAATACATTTAAAGTTGTGATCTTACAGACTAACTTTTTTCAAAAAAGTCAGAATAAAAGAAAAATGCTAATAAACTTGACATATATTTCTATATTTTTCATTTATAATCTTATATCCTATTCAATAGGCTTTTCTCAATCTAAACACTCATCTCACTGCCAATGGCCTCCACTTTAATCTCCTCTTCAATCTATATAGTTGCCCTCTCCTCTGCCTATATTGCTAGTTCCTCTACCTTCTATCCCTAATTGTGGGAATTATCTTTATCCTTAGAACCTTACATTCCCTTCTGTACATTTTTCTCTTGCAGAAAATGTACCTGTTGGCATGGGGTTTCAAATAATATTTCTATTTTGGTTTTGCCTTCTAGGTCCTGTACCCTGGTGAAAAAGATATGTATATATGCCGTTTTCTTTCATGGCTCTTGTCTTTGCACAAACTTTTTCCTTTGTCTGGGAAGGAGTCTCACCTTTAATGAAAGATGAGGGGAAGGATCCAGAGTTAAGAAATTTGCTTGCTTGCTTGTTTATTTTTAGTTTGAAGGTAATAACTTACTAAGGAGACCGAACCAGTAAAATGGGAAGTTAAATATATTTTATTCAATAATTCTTAGAGGAAATAGAGCAAGGTCTTGAAGAGTTGAAATTCAGTCAGTAGTTATACAGATTTGCCATGGAGTATCTCTTCAAGAAAGAAAAATAAACAAGGAAGAAAATAAATAAGGACAAGAAAGTCTATCGGGGGGGGGGGGCAGGGTGCCTGTGGCTTAAGGAATAGGGGGCGCCAGCTCCATATACGGGGGTGGGAGGTTCAAGCCTGACCCTGGCCAAAACTGGAGAAAAAAAAAAAAGTTTATAGGTATTTGCAGTAGGGGTGACATACATCTGCATGGTATTATATGACAACAGAAGTTGAGGACCTTTATTTTTATTTATAAAGTAGGGAATACAATGAACATAACAGAGAAGATGGTGAGGTTAGAATCCAGGAGAATGGTATAAGGGTTAGAAAAGCACTTTAGAGTGAAAAAGGACACTGATTAGAATCCACAGGCAACTTTGAGGACATAGTAAGGGTATAACGAATTTATAATGGTTCCAATTTTTTCCACTGTTGTTTTAAGTGGCCCTAGGAGTAAGTATAAAGAAAGTAAAGGATGGAATGGTCAACTTTTAACAGGTAGTCAAAATGTAGGGCAATGAGGGTAAAGGGATTAAAAGCACAGGGTACAAAATGGTTAAAATGACTGATGGAAAAGTAAGCAATTCTGGGAGGGCATGATCTACTGGAATAAAATGAGAGATTCGAGAAACCTGAGGTTTATGAGATGCAAAAACAGAAGTAAGAGAGTAGAAAGTTTAAAGGCTGGGAGATACAGTCACAGACCTTCATATTATTAGGGTTTAGTATTTTAGAGGAGAGCAATTCCGGGTAGTGCATATGGCCATGGGTATATGTGGCCAAAAGTACAGTGTAATTAAAAATGAGTATCCACAAGGACAATGAAATCATCCAGGGTGATACAAAAAGTGAAGGTGGACATTTAGACTGGGAGCCAGGAGTTCTCAATGAATAACCAGGAGGTCAGGAGATGCAAACAAACCCGAGGAAGAGAATAAAATGCTCTACAAAATACTGGATGCTTAAGAGATTCATTTTTTACAGGAATACATACAAATACTAATGTGGAAGAACAACAGTAGCTAAGGAAATGCTGGACTCAGCTTCTTGTCTTCTGATAGCTCCTTTTTACAGACTCTTTTTACCTCTTTCCATTTCTTATCTCTCACTATGTCATAACAGAGAATGATCAGTCTTTCTATTGGAAAGAGCTGCCAAGAAAGGACAGATGAGTAAGATGTTTCCAGAAGTTGTGGATAAGCAAGAAAAAAAATCATTCTCTCAAAGAAAAAAAAACCTAGTAAAGTCATGAAGCTATTCATCCTCAGACTGACCCACATTAGTATTAGGTTTATGATTATATTAGTTATAAGACTATAGTATTTCCAAAGTCTGTGCCAAGAGATGAAAGTATATTCTCAACAATCATGACTGAAATAAAAGAAAATTAACATCTCTAATAACAATGTATTAATAGCAGGAATGTAATTTGTATATTAAATATGAAAAGGAATAATATAGAGAGCACTTTTATATTTTTGATATTACATAAAAGTATAAACTAAATTTTTTGGTTATCCATTACTACTCAAGGAATAGATATATCATATCCAATAGGTATTCCAGTTATCAGGTCGTAAACTCAGCAGTGTAATAGGGACTATGTGTAAGGCTTCCAGAGTCTGGATGAAATGCCTTTCTGAACCTAACTCACTTTGTTCTGATTTTGTGCTCATGTAACTATCTCATTAATCAACCAGGTTTCACAGGATCTTAATGTCTAAGGCAGTGTTCTAGAGCAAGGTTTCCAAAAGTTTTCATTATAAAGACATTACATTGTTTCATTTATATACATTATGTATACTATATCCTATATTCATATATGTATATATGAAACAAAATTTTAAAAAGTCAGACTTAAACAGAAGTTCTAGTATTTTCTTCTCACATTCCGGTAGCATGCTGCCATGCTGGAGACCACTGCTTTAGACAGACATATATGAATATTATAGGCAACCAAAAGGCAAAAACTGACATAACTGACAAGCTAGAATTGTATAAAACCAAGTTTCTGACTCTTTAAAGCTTTGGGTCCATCATGAAGCTCCATTGGGATACTACTTCACAATGAGGCACTCAAACACTTTTTGTTGTAATAAAACAAGCAACAATCACACAAAGCTCAAACACTGAGGGACCAGATGTGCTCTTAGCCCAACTAAAGAAATCATCCTTTATATGCAAGGAAACATGAATCTCAATTTTAAAGTGTTAATCAGAAGTTTAAACTACATGACAGAATTTTTCTTTCCCTAGCAGCAGAAACTTGTCTCTTGCGATTACTCACCTGAATAAAATGTGTTGATTTTGGCAAGTTCCTTTTCACAGGTTTGGAAAAATTTTTCTTCAAACTTGGCAAAATACCTCTTTACTGTGTCCTCATCCGTAACTGAAAGGCAAAGCAAACAATATTTAAATTTTATGTCTTAAGGCCAATTGGGCAAGCTAAGAAATAAAAAAGTTATTACTTTCTTAGTCTTCTATGTGTTTTTCTTTGGAAAAAAAATGAATTATGAACTAAATTGAGAAAAAACTACCAGTCAAAGTTTCTTCACAGGAACACACCTCTTCTTTATTTGAATGAGACTCTGTGAAGTTCTACTGTAATAAATTCATAATGTTGAAGAAAATAAATATTCTAAGACTTTAGAAGAAACTCAGATGTGATCAAGGAAGAATCAAACTATTAGGACTTAAGCTGCGTTTCAGGAAGGAAAAAATATAAGAGCAAAAGTATGAAAACATGAATCTATGTTTCTACAAAAAATAAACTGATTTTCTTCTATGTTAAATTACTATCTACTCATTTTTACTTGAGCTTCACCAGACAGAGAAAGATGTGTGAAGATGAGTATAAATTAGATGTTCTTAACCTTCAGGAGCTGGGTAGTAAGATAAGTGAGTTGAGCAACTGGATGACAGTACAAGTGTAGAGATAAATGACAACTGACATCTTCAGGATAAGAACGGGTATAGATTCTGGCAAACTGGAAAGCATATGTACACCTAGTTGCTGCTATTTGGTGATATGTGGCCCAGTCTGTCAAATTTTCCAATTTTTCAAAAGAAGCCATAAATCTAGATATTTAAAAAACACTTTGTGGGCCGATCAATATATGCTTCCACTAGCTGGATCCATTTTGTGAATTGTGTCACATAGCACATCAATCTACTGCATTCCGTTAAGTACAGATACATATAGCCTCATTAACTCCAAGCCTAAAAGGGTAAGTTTCTAGCCCAAGTGATATCTGACTAGACTCTCTGGATGCTAATCATAATGTAGAACTATCCAATTTCTAGATCTCTGGGGTATCTTAGCTTAAAATGTGTAGGAAAAGTACAGGTTCCTTACTGTATCCAAAGTGACCCAAATCTTGGGACTAGTGCAGTCCCAAAACCTCTTAAATAATCCACTTGTCTAGGAATAAAGGAAATGGTATTTCCCTCAGTAATATGCAGTACACACAAATCTATAGTACTAGAGATATTTTAAAGAAAAACAAAAGCTTAAAGTCCTAAAGAACATCTGGAACTTATTCATTTAATTTAAACACAGATGTAAAAAAATTAACACCACATAAAAGTTTAATTTATACAACCTACTTCTCTATTTCATACTCTTTGGACCTGAACAGATAATGCAGGATATTCTATTGATTTTGCAGTAAAAATGGATGCCACTTTAAATTCATCATGTAAGCTCAGCAATGTAGGTACAATAAAGGCTACAGCTGCCCAAGGCCACTGAGAATTACTTTTTCAAAGCATAAAGCAGGTCACAGCTTTTTTTTTTTTTTATAAAGAGGACCTTGAGTTAAGGAAGCTCCATGGTAACAGATACTGTGTCTAGATATAGCTGATTTAAAATAAGAGTAATAGTTGATTCTACTTAATTACCTTTTTTCCATTTTTATTTTATTATCTATTACTAAAGAAAACCCAAAGCAAAACATAGGCTTGGTCATATTTACTTTGCTTCTCTCCATTAACAGACAACTTTCATTAACATAAAGTGATAGAAATAAAGTTGTTCAACAAAGTGATATAAATATAGCTTCTATTCTTAAAATAATTTTAACACGTATTAATGTTTACAAAGCAGTTGCATATTCAACACCAACTACATAAAATATTACCAAGAATTTAAAAACAAGCAGAGGAGGTAAACTCTCCCTCTTTGCTGACGATACGATCTTATATTTAGAGAACCCCCAAGACTCAACCACAAGACTCCTGGAAGTCATCAAAAAATACAGTAATGTCTCAGGATATAAAATCAAGGTCCACAAGTCAATGGAGATTGTATACGCCAATAACAGCCAAGATCAGAGGTTAATTAAGGACATAACTCTCTTTACTATAGCTTCAAAGAAAATGAGACACCTAGGAATATACCCAACAAAAGAAGTAAAGGACCTCTATAAAGAAAATTATGAAATCCTAAGAAAGGAAATAGCAGAGGATATTAATAAATGGAAGAACTTACCATGCTCATGGCTGGGAAGAATTAACATTGTTAAAATATCTATACTTCCCAAAGCAATCTACCAATTCAATGCCACCCCTATTAAAATACCAGCATCCTACTTTCAAGACTTGGAGAAATGATTCTTTGTTTTGTATGGAACCAGAAAAAAACCCGGATAGCTAAGGCAGTTTTTAGTAATAAAAACAAAGCTGGGAGCACCAGCATACCAGATTTTAGGCTGTACTACAAGGCCATAGTGGTCAAGATAGCATGGTACTGGCACAAAAATAGAGACATAGGCATTTGGAATCAAATAGAAAACCAGAAAATGAAACTAACATCTCATAGCCAGCTAATCTTTGATAAACAAAACAAGAACATACACTGGAGAAAAACTCCCAATTCAATAAATGGTGCTGGGAGAACTGGATATCCACATGTAAAAGACTAAAACTGGACCCACACCTTTCTCCACTCACAAACACTGATTCAAGATGGATAAAGGACTTAAATTTAAGGATTTAAATGATAAAAATCCTCAAAGAAAGCATAGGAAAAACACTGGAAGATATTGGCCTGGGGAAAACCTTTATGAGGAAGAGTTCCCTGGCAATTGCAACAACAAAAATAAACAAATGGGACTTAATTAAACTGAAAAGCTTCTGTACAGCTAAGGAGACAACAACCAAAGCAAATAGACAACCTACACAATGGGAAAGGATATTTGCATATTTTTAATCAGACAAAAGCTTGATAACTAGGATCTATAGAGAACTCAAATTGATCCACATGAAAAAGCCCAAAACCCATATTATCAATGGCAAGAAAAGTGAAGAGAACCTTCTCTAAAGAAGACAGATGAATGGCTAACATATGAAAAAATGCTCATAGTCCCTAATTGCTAGAGAAATACAAATCAAAACTACCCTGAGATACCATCTAACCTCAGTGAGAATGGCCCACATCACAAAATCTCAAAAGCAGTTGCTAGCATGGATATGGAGAGAAAGGAACAGTTTTACACTGCTGGTGGGACTGCAAACTAATACAACCTTTTTGGAAGGAAGTATGATGGAGAACCCTCAAAGAACTCAAGCTAGACCACCCATTTGATCCTGCAATCCCATTACTGGGCATCTACCCAGAAGGAAAAAAAATCCTTTTATCATAGGGACACTTGCACTAGACTGTTGATTGCAGCTCAATTTACAATTGCCAAAATGTGGAAAACAGCCTAAATGCCCACCAACCCAGGAATGGATTAACAAGCTGTGGTATATGTATACCATGGAATACTATTCAGCCATTAAAAAAGATGGAGACTTTA